AGTTTGAGGAACAGTTTATGTCAATTGGCCCAGGTTGTTTCGCCTACAGTGCACCTGAAGTGCAGATACGAGCAAAGCATACAGCAAAGGTGAGAAAATAAGCTTACAGAATTTCCTTGGATATATTTCTTTAAAACATGAACCCTTTACAATTAAGGATTAAGCGGTACTTGTGTCTTAACTCAGTCTTAAGTCGTGTGCTCGGTTAACGCAAAACGGCAAAGTGTGCTCAGTCTACAAAAACGGCAAAGAGTGCACGGTCTACACAAACGGCAGTGTGCTCAGTCTACACAAACGGCAGAGTGTGCTCAGTCTACACAAACGGCGAAGTGTGCTCGGTCTACACAAACGGCAAAGTGTGCTCGGTCTACACAAACGGCAAAGTGTGCTCGGTCTGCACAAACGGCAAAGTGTGCTCTGTCTATACAAACGGCAAAGTGTGCTCATTCTACACAAACGGCAAAGTATGTTCAGTCTACACAAACGGCAGAGTGTGCTGGGTCTACACAAACGGCAAAGTGTGCTTAGTCTACAAAAACGGCAAAGTGTGCTAAGTCTACAAAAACGGCGAAGTGTGCTCAGTCTACGCAAACGGCAAAGAGTGCTCGGTCTACACAAACGACAAAGAGTGCTCGGTCTACGCAAACGGCAAAGAGCTTGTGAAAACAGCGATCTTATTTCATTGTCTTTTCTTGTCCTGCTTTTTAGATTGATGTCTACAGTTTCGGTGTTCTCCTCTGTGAAATGTGCATTCAGACATTCCCGGATTATGAAAACCGTGAACGTCAAATCACTCAGATGACAGACCAGGTATTGCAAGACCTCGTCCGCCGATGCCTGCGGTCAGATCCCACTGAAAGACCAGACATGACAGATATTATCAGTACACTGGAAGAGTTCAGTAAAACGTTGTAAATTTATCGGGGCATGTATTTTTTAAACCATTATCGGGGTTCTTTTTTTTTTAAGAATATTAAAGATGAAGAGTTAATTTGAGAAAAAAAATTATTAGCTACGAGTCGCTTGCAATGCCTAGGGAGGGTCGCGAGTTGCACAAAAAATAGGCTTTTTATGCACTTAGAGACAATTGTCAAGTTTATGGATGAAGATAAAGCAAGACTTAAAAAAAAACTTCCAAATTCAGCAACATTTATTCGCACATACAGTTGTGTTAGTATTTTGTTAGAAAAGTATATAAACAAATCTTACAGTGTTAACATCAAATGATGTTGTCCTAGACTCTTTGAATTATTCAAGAGTCCATTCATACTCAGTTAGTACAGTGTACGCGTTGGCTTTGTAACGAAATGCATAAATTTTTATCATAAGCATAGAATATTTTATTGTCACCGTGTAAACTAATTTCTCCATGTACATAAATGTAGGCGATAACTATCCAGCTACAGAGCTGTTATATTAGGCTGTAACATGCAATCCCAGAGTCTCAATCTGCAAAACACGACGAGTGAAAACAAAGAATCCTTAGGGGAAAAAACTTATTAAGGAAATTTTTTCCGTTTAATTGTGTTAATCAATCCATTAATTTTTAATTTAAAAATCCCGATAGACAACAGGAAATCAGTTGCGCGCTGATGGTTGGAGTAGCCTTTTAGTTACAGGCAGAATTTTAAAAAGAAAATTCTTTGTATCTTAAAGCCTGAACTGTTTTTGCCTCATTCAGTGCAGAAACGTCTAAGTTGTTAATTGGGTACAAATCGGTATTTGTCCAAGTGTAAGCACATTTGGACCCAAAGCAATTCTATACGTGTCTTTTTGTTGAATTGGTTTCAAAATAGTACCAATAACCAGGTTGAGAATGGTTCGTCCCAATCTTGGATTTGTTCCCTCCCATATAAATATTAAGACAAAATTTGTTGACACTTTGTCGTTGATTTGAATTTGAACTATCTACATTTTTTGGTGGTTTGAAAGCTGGTAACGTTACCGCGGAACCCTGTTTTTGTCTAGGTACTTCAGTTCAATTACATATGCTCATCATCAACTGATACAGGGTGGTGCAACTGAATCATTAGTTAAGAGTCATTAAGAGAATTAAGAGTCAGTATTCATTTATAACATTGTAATATACCTGTACGTGTTATGGTGATAAAAAAATGTCCAATAGATCTTAATTTGCCCACCAACAATTGTTTTTCTTTTTGTACCATCTGCTCGTTCAATACTCTTGGTCTTACTTGGATGCGTTTTTCCAAGGTTCTCATGTAAACGAGTTGCCCGCGGGGTGCAAAGAAAATTGTGTACTCAAATGAGTAAACTTTTACATATAAATTTCTGAACTCCATTATCAGGGAGGAGGAATAGAACTCCTGAGCTTCGCAATTTGCGTTACAATGCTCCACCATTCAGAGTTCAGCGGTAAGATAGGAAAACAACTACAATAGGTTAGGATGTGACAAGCGTTTTGCTTCCCTCTAGGATGATGCGCAATGCCGCAAAAATTGTGTGAGTGAAAAGAATAAGAAAGCGAAGGGCGTATGTTTAGCTAAATTTTCTCATGAAGAAAGATGCTACTCGTTTTGTGACGAGAATGGGACTGGAAAACAATCTGCTTTCCTCGTGGAATGGAGTGCTTCACTTGAAAGGGTTTTCTGTTTCGTGCTTAGGGTAAACCAAGGGTCAAAAACATCTCACGAGTTAAGGTCCAGAAAATTATTCCTGAAGTGTCCCAATAGTATAAAGAACCTTGTAGCAACAGCGGACGTGCATAGCCCAAGTTTTGGGGCTGTGATTGACTCTTTTACACACAAGACCTCAATAGTAATTCTCCTTACTATCTACCGTACAATTCTTATGACGTTATTTTGGAGAATTTGGTCTTGGATCAACTAATAATCCCCAGATTGATATTTGTGTTTATTCTCGTCAATTGTCTGCATGATATTGTATCGATATTGTAAGGAGCAATTCTGTCTTGGTCACTCATGGGAATTACAGGATTAAAAGCCCCGCGTTGAAATTCGTCCTTCAGCAGTTTAGGAATTTATCAGCCTCAGTGTCGGGATAAATTTTGGTTACGCTAGGTAGCCGACTTATTGTCTAAAACGTATATCCAATATTATTCATTATTGACGAATTTTGATTTTGAAGCTCTAGCAAAGGTGACGGCACGATAGAAAAAGGAATAAAGTGCTCATACTATACGTAAACATAAAATGAAAGAGTTTTGAGAGGGTTGAACTTGCTGAGTGTGTCAGGTCTGGAGACAAATATGAAGAACTCGAGAAACATACCACGTCTCAAACTAATCACTAAAGACTTTTTTCTTCATCAAAGTCACCAGTTAGTCTTGTGAATGTAATCTTTTATCAATCAATTTTTGATACTATGCCCAAAGCCTATTTAGTTTGATCCTTCACTGACTCCTTGCCTTGGCTTAATATCTTCGTTGAAAGTAAGTAATATACAAAACTTAACTCAGACGATTAGGTAAGAGACAACTTGTTTTATTTCGGGAGCAAATAAATTTATTTGAAATAGTGCTTGCCAAAAATGTGCACCTCCCGACAACAACACTAGCACTTTAAGTCCATAAAGGCTCTTGGATTCACGCAACTATTAGTTCATCATAAGTGCAGCATATTTTAATAGCTGCGTTACTTTGTATATACTTTATGTTACGGTCCATGGGCGGAAAATCTCTTACAACATTGAGTCACGAAGTCTGTGCGGACACAGCACGAACATAAATTGGTGTTAACTCTCTTTGTCGCTGCATGAGATAACTGTACTGGTTCACTTGGACGGCTGAAAATAATAGCAGTCATAGCAAGAGTCAAAGCTGAGGTCAATTTGACACCAAGCACAGTTTCAACGTGTTTCATCAAAGGTAAATTTATATCCGTTAAAACACTTCAGTAAATAACAATAATTGTGTCGTAAAGGTCAAAGTTGTTTGACGTAGCTCTTTCGAACTGTCACGCTTATTTTGGGCATAGCAGTTATTTACGAAGTTATATAAGAGTCTCCATCATTTTTCTGAGAAAAGTCGTATCTGACACTTTTCATGAGTTTCTTATCTTCCTCATCCCGATTCAGCCAACTAAGTGAAACAACGACGTAGCAAGTAAAGAAGAACGTTATTTCCGTTTCTCAGAGGAGCTAATTTGGCTTTCACATCGCACGACCAGACCAATAAAAAAATTTCTCCGCAAGGTACAGAATGGAAATCAACAATGTTCAGAAGGAGAAACCCCAAGATAAACACTCTGAGTACTACATCGTCCGCTTTGATCCAATTTAGAAGCTGATGCAGGGAGAGTTATTGAAAGCTTTATCAAGCTCATACGATTTTAAAGTGGAAACATTTGTCCCTGTCTACCAAGGAGAGCATAAAACGCGGATAATAGTGTGTTCCACCACCAACGAAGCATTTATCAGATTCTCAAATTAAGATGCTAGTTTACTTTTGCCTTGCACTTCACCTGAATCAAGGAATCAAGTACTTAGTCGGCAAGGAATGGCATGTGAACTGTGCATGTGGCATGTGTGGAAGATCTGGGTACGTGACTACTGTACATGTACGTAACTTTCAAAATGCACAATTCCCCCCTAATCTCATACCCAGATCTTACTGTGTAGCTATTATTGTAACCCCTTGGCCATGAAAGGTCTGGGTACGAGACTACAATCCCCCTTCTTTGGAATGTTTTGTTTTATAAATACTGATGTCCTGTTTCCGAATAAATTAACTCACCCATTCATGCACAGACTGTATTTTGATATATCACCAATTTTACTTAACGTTTTTTTATGAGCTTCCCGTTATGTCGCTAAGGAAAGTGAAAGCGGCGGCTGTTAAATGAAGTCAGCCTCATAAGACCCAACCATGACCATGTATATTTTGTTGGTTCGTAAATGTGCACTCTTCTGTGTTTACAGTGGACAGGTAATAGAAAGCTACCTGTTTAAAGAGTTTTAATGCATCTTAAGGATTTGGCATAGGCGAGAGTTCTCATTAGCTTAACCCTTAAACCCTCAAGATCTGATTGTTAATTCTCCTCACCGGCTGCTATACATTCTCCATTAAACTGGCTACAACAAATTTTAACAAAACAATTATCAAAGTTCAAATGCCCCAGGGCTTACCTAGGAAGGAGGGATGTTGACGCTTCAAATGGATAGAGGCATTAAATCTTATTAATTTCTGATTTCTTTCAGCAGATTGAATTGAATTTGGTCATTATCCTCCAGTACGTTTTACTGTTTGATCGCCAATTTATAACCCTTTTAAATAAAACTTGAAACCCTATATTTTGTTGGTGTTATTATGTATATGGTCTAATTGGGGTACACCAGGAGCTAGTGGAAGGATATGGCGTGGCGTAGGGGTAAAGAAAGTTCTCATTACCTAACTCTTTATAACTGAAAATTAGAGATTTTTCAAGCACCAACCCTATTTAGCTATAGTGGTTAAAATTGTATGATAATATCATTATTTTCAATCTATGTAGTCGTTTCCTCCAGATTTAATTAAAATATAGAATATGGAGGATGGTTTGAAATTCAGTCAGTAAGTCAGTTTAGCGGCTTATCGATTGTTACTTGATTGAGCTTTTGTTTTCAAGGCATTACCTTACCCCACCCCCGCTTAAAAAGTGACCTTGCTCGCTCTACCCCTGTAGAGCAGTACATGCGGTTCCATAGTAAACAGCCGTCAAGGGACTCGATTCGGTGACCTTTTCACTGAATATTTATCTCTATTAATATGAATCTGGACATCGATAACTGAGAGGCCTGGACTGGGTACAGGCAGGGTGCATGTTAATATTTTTCTTTTTCTTTAAGACTGAGCAATTTGTTCAACATATAAGTCATAAGACTTGGGTAGAGCCAGTGGCTATTCACCACGCTAATGCGTTTTAATTGCGAAATTACTTTAGTATTACCGCTTAGGTATCTGTGCAACTGTTATTAATAATCTAGCAAGCAAGCAAGCAAGCAAGGAACAGGTTTATTTGTAGTTTTAAGAAAGTTTTAGTTTCCCTCCAACCCACACTATAGACAGTTTTGATTGTATCTTAATCTTATTCGTGTTTGTAATTTATTCTTGATTACTGGACCGTTGGTTTAGTGTATTCGTCCAATATCTTTTATGTTATAGTCTACTGAGTGTGTTATTTACTTAGGATATATACATTTAATTAACTGTCTGGTCCCAAAACAAGCCTCTGCCTGTT